AGAGAGAGAGAGAGAGAGAGAGAGAGAGAGAGAGAGAGAGAGAGAGAGAGAGAGAGAGAGATCCTTCGTTTAGGGTTTTGTAAACAGGAGCATACCTTGGCAAGCAAGGCACCAACTGTGACATGGCCTCTAGCAATGAATGACTGATAGTATATGTATGCAAACACTGCCATTACCATCTGCACAGAAAAAGTGAGCCACCACACACGTTAGACTGTGTGACACCACACAGTTTGCTGTCCACTTGTGTACGTGGTTTCTGTATTGCGCAAATCCACCCCGATTTCCAACACACAAACAATCATAAAAGTGCATCCGAACTTCATCTACGATAAACTTGTTGTGGCAGACTGGCACCCTACTTGATGTCAAACGGCAAGCGGGAGTTCACCGAACCCCCCCAGATGATGAAATAAGACCGTGTCACAGTCAGAGACCTTTATCGCCATTTTAACTACAGATCTAGTGTGGCGTCTGTTCTGATCAGCTCAACATCTTATTTCATCATACCTTCCTGCTATTTGACTTGTTGAGAACGCAATCCAGCAGAGCGTCAACATCAGAGCGTAAACATCTTCTCATGAGCATGCCACAATGACAAATCACGCCTGAAGAGGGATTCACAAAAGGAACGAGGAGCCACAACTTGGAGTAAAACTGCCTTGAACAAACTCAAAACACAGCTTCATCAAGTTCCTGGAATCTTCCTCCTTCCTCCAATTCAACCTCCATAGCTGGCTATGGCGCTCAGCCCAAGCTCACAGTAGCGCCAAGCCTCCTACTCTGCAGATCACCAGTGGCTCCCATCTCCTGTCTCGGCGCACTAAGGTAGCGCCCTTCAAAACTCAGTCAGAGGCTCCACTGCTGTGCCAGGACCTCCCAGAACCACCAGCGACAGCACCAGGATGAAGAAGGAACCTCAACCTTGAAGGAGGAGAAAAATAGCTCCCTCGTAGAAGAAGATATGGCAGTGCCTAGCCCCTACAACAGCACAGATATGGCTGCCGCCCAGCTTGGCAGGTGAGTCGCCTGCCTCACTGCTGTCTGAAACCCTAGCTGAGCAGGTGAAGCACCTGCTTCACTGCTGTCCGAACCCTTAGAAGCGGCTTCCCAGCTACAGCGCTGCTTCAGCACGCTGGTTGCGTCCAGGAGAGCAACCAAACCACGGCTCTACCAAAGACCTCCAACCCTTCGTACCCTTTCCATTTAAAGTTCTACTCTAACCTAACAAACAGTTATGGGTCTACGTTTTCCAGTAACAACAGTGCCGATCTGAGGCAAAGGTAAACCAACCAACAGTTATGGGTCTGACTTTTTCGAAACAACGGTACCAGTCTGAGGCAAAAGTAAAGCAACACTCCGTTGAGGCCTGAGAGAGGTTTAGGCCCACTACCGGTAGTCCCAGTTTTTCGCACTAGTTTAGGGAATCTGCATAAAAGTCCCCGTCGTGGCACTGCAGAGATAGAGTTGTATGAAGGCAGACATGTTATGGGCTACTGTTGTGTAGAGAGTGAAATGCAGTAAGGACAGAAAGACCGCATCAGACGGACAGACGACTGCGGTAAGAGATAGAGTTGTATGAAGGCAGACATGTTACGGGGTACTGCTGCGACTGATGGCTGAAGCAGAGACGACTGTGGTATATGAAGGCAGACATGTTACGGGGTACTGCTGCGACCGATGGCTGAAGCAGCCACGTCACAGTTCACTTTGAAAAGGCGCAGTTGCAGGCTAGGAAGACTCGGAAGGTAGCTTCGTCAACTTAGACTCGTGTGCACTGCTGGTGGTTTAAAGCACCAATACCACACCCAGTCATTATGTTACAACAATGTGGCTGTTAACACGCTGCATCCTTTGGGGCTCGACCTACCGTACCAAAATGGCTGGGGATGCCAGGGAAGGAAAAAAAAAAAAAAAAAAAAAAAAAAAAAACATGTATCCACGCCGGTTTCTCTTTCACTGGCGCACAACGGAAACTTCACATCGTGAAAAAACTTGGAAAAAGAGGATTGAAGGCACTGGTTGGTTTAAACTTTAAACTTTAATGAGTAAAAGACTAAAGAGAGAGAAACGGAAGCAACGTCTGCATAGAGAGTGAAATGCACTTTTCACTCAGGAGACAGAACGACCACAGCAGGAGGCGAGATAAGTGTGCTGGGTGAGAGAAAGGGTGAAACTCACTTGGCAATCCATGCGATCCGTTATCCCTCCATGTCCGGGAATGCTGTCGCCGAAATCCTGTTGCAGTTGTAGGAGAGAACCAAGGGGCAGCAGTGCACCGTTCAAAGGGAAAAGAAACGAAAAAAAAAAAGAAAGGAGAGAAAAAAAAACAAAAACCGGCAAGTGATAAGCAACCTGGAGTCCAGAGGCAACAACACGACTGCCCGAAGAAAAAGTAGTGAGTGCTCAACAAGTGATAACTATTAACCAAGCACTGGCAAACTATAGTGGTGAACGACTCTTCTTCTTCAACTCCCGATACACTCATTTCTCCCATCGAACGTACGTAACTCTGACTCATAAATTGATTGGCATAATGGCATTAAAATTTCCACCGATTTAACGGCATTTGTTCATTCACAACAACATAGTAACATAGTAAACATACCATACTTAAGGCGCATCGACATGCGCTGCTCCCCGCACACGCGCCGCACTGCGCACCGCTCACGACGCACACGCACGGGGTGCGGCGCACCCCGAAAATAGGGGGTCGACCATTAAAAAAAAAAAAGTTGTCGAGGGGTGTTCCAGGCCCGGCTGGGATGTCGTGCCACAAAACGAAGAAAAAAAAACGACATTTCGAGGCCGCGCGGGGCAACTGAAGAAAAAAAAAGGGGGGCAGCTAAAGTGAGTTTGTTTTTTAAGTTTTGAATTCCGAGTGCTACCCCTTGCTGCCTGGATGAACCCGGTAGTCCAGCTTTGTGCCCTTCGCGCCCGCCGTGCGTTGCCCGTCGCATGCTTGCCTCCACGTCTCCTGTGCAGCAGCAGCAGTCCAGGGCGCTGTCGTCCAGCCATAGCCAGGGCACTGCAGTCATCGTGAAGGAGCCGAAGAAGCAGCGGGAGGAGCGCGGCGTCAGCTCGTAAAGTTGCCAGGTGGATAACCACCAGTCCCTCTCTCTCTCCCCTCCTTCCTCTCTCTCTCTCTCTCTCTCTCTCTCTCTCACACACACACACACACACACACACACACACACACACACACACACAC